GTGACGCTGCTAAGAATGGGAGACAGGTTCTCCTTCTCTTGCGTACCAAACCCGAAACCTGAAGCGCCATTTGCCTTCGATTTAGGGTCAGCAATCGACTAGACAAGTGATAAGAGAGAGAAAACAGAGTTACGTGAATCTGAAGCCGAAAAGGTATTGGATAAAGCAACTCAAAACATAGCAGACGACACTGACCTCCAGTCAAACTACTAGACTGGCAACTTCGAGTCAACACGAGCAGTTGCGGCACAATCGATAGTGGGGTGAAAATTGACGAGGAGTGAACTGAGATGGTAAGATTGGAGAATGAAACACCTGGGTCCTCTCAACAAATTAAAAAGCGAAGGAAGAAAGGCCAAACGACCTTGCGTCGGTTCACTAAGGCCGTGTACAAAAAGCTATAAGTGTACTAAGCAGCGGGGAGTGTAAATAATCAAGGGTGGATGGCAAAGTGGTAGCCATTATGTCTAAGAAAGTTTTAGGAGTTTCAATGCGATGAAGTATAGAGTCAAACCGGGTTCAGATTAGCCATATGTCTACAATGCGGAGTGAGCCAGACTAGAAGGAGTTTTCGTGCTGGAAGCAGAGGTAAACTTTCAAAACGAATAGAGAGAAAGTTACGAACATAATGGTTGGCCAATTCTTTAATGTATCAGGCCAGAGAAAGCGATAGCAAACAGTGGAATGATTAAAATCGTCCTCCGAATAACGCTGAGCAATGGAGTCTATGGATTAAAATGAAAAGCGAATGAAAATAAAGTAAAAAGGATAAGAAGGAAATATGCTGATAACTGAGGGGTGGCAAGTCCAATCGGACAATCGGTGGCGGAATTAAGGCGGTGACAATCTCCCTAGTGGATGGCGTTGGACAACGCGCTTAGTAACGTCTGTGGTGAAATGGTATAGAGTAGTTCACTCTTCTGGCCTGTAATTACATGCTGATTTCTCGTGCCCTCATCTAATCATCTTGCGGATTCGCACAGTCTGATGCTATCGCCACGAATGGTATAGATCGAAACACCCGGTGGAAAGGTACAAGCGATTAGGGGATTACCGCTGGCTTCATAACTGGTGCTATCAATGTAGCTAACTCGTCCAGCCCCATTTTACATTAGTTCATTTAACATCAGCATGTTATGCCAGATCGGCCGGCAGGCGGCGCACTCTCCAACTTCCCAATTCCCTGGCAACGGAACACGCATAGAATATTGCAGAGCTGCAATGGAACTCCGGCTTCCCGGTTCAACATTTAACGACAATGGCCACACTCACCGCGCATGTAGTAACACAAAGCCAAGTTAAATATGTTGCCAGCATTGCCATCACAACACAAATCACACGAATGAATTCCAGTGGATAGTCGCGTTGGCGTGGTACAATTTAGGACACTTACGGGGGTTAGTCAGAACTATCTGAAGATAAAATAAACTTTTCGGTATGTGCCCCAACAAGTCGCAGCTCGAAGGCCATCAAAGACGATTTCTATCAGAGAAACTCCCATCTGTAGCGGTCTGGTAATGAATATAGACATACATGTAGATGAAAGTGAAATGAATATCCAAGTACATTGTCTAAAAAAGTGTAAACAACGACTGCGAGGGTGCTTCCGAGTAAATACACGCCGGGCAGATAACGTTATCGGTTCGTTCAACAATGCGCGGACCACGACTCCACCTTCCAACAGAACCGTTCATATTGAATCACCCGGGGCCCACCAAATTCAACGATGACTGCGTGTGAGTCGAAACTAGAAGATGAACGATTTTGAGGGCGGGCCAAGAATTGGGGTTTGAAAACTGGGGGGATAAAAGTGAAGTTGGAGGAATGGGAAGATAGGAAGGTCTGAGTAGTAGCATCCTCAGCTCTATCCTCCTTGCTCTAGAAGCAGCAAACAGGGCACCATTGATTATCCCTCTGCGAGTCAAATCATCAATAGAACGTGCAGAGAGAAGTTCATTGTATTTTAACAGCTCCACACTTTCCAAGTTGGCTCCGGTGAAAGCAGTTTCCATGATTTCGTTGCTGGCGAGATTAAAAAAGAGCGGTGATAGCGGGGATCCTTGTGATAAACTGCTGAAGATATTAAAGGGCGGTTGTAGATTGCCAGAAGCCCTTACCCTGCCCTAAGTAAGCGCATAAAGCGCTATGGTATTGTTTACGTATTTCTCAGTCACAGCATTTTTGATCAAACATCGACCTACCAAATCGAAGGCAACGTTGATATCGAGGAATACGACTACAGTGGGCCGCCAATGTAAGCGATGATGCTCCAACAAAGGACCTGAAGTTAAGATGTGGTCAATGTAGTCTCGATTTCGACTGCACCTGGCTTGCGCTTCACTAACCTGGCTCTCATGGATACCATTCAAACTGAGAAGAACGACAGAGGCAAATAACGTGAGGCGCCGTTAAAGGTCGGGACAAAAATGCAGCTGGTCAAGTCGGCTGGGATAGTTGCCTGCTCTCATAGTATCACTAACAAATTGTGTAAATCATCCACAAAAGGTCTTCGGGATTTGAAGAGGGTTGGAGGAAGATCATTTTGTCCCGCGACCTTATTCAACTTCAACAGTCCGATTTCACAATCGACCTGTGCGAGAGAAGGCGAATCCAATGCGAAGGTCTTGGGAACAGAGCGACCAACGGCTGACAGCGAATCTATTACTTTCAGTCAATGAAATTGACCCAAGCGTTTTGAAGGTTGTAGATAGGCTGTCTTCTCTCGTCGCATACGACCTCGCTCACTCCAAATCTTTTGCTGCCGTACCAGGTCGTTATCTGAACACAACGAATCTTTATAATTCGAATTATAAAAGATAATGCGAGCATAAGATAATAATTCAGTGAATACATAACTCAGCAAAATGCCGGGTCCCAGTACAACATCATCATCATCCTCGTCGTAGTCGTCATCAACACCAACATCTGTAGTACATACGTACGCCGTACTGACAAGTCGTTTACAGTGGCGCTAATTGTATGCAACAAGACAGCAGAATAAAGATTCACAATAAAACTTAAACACCTTAGGCAAGCCCAACAAGATAAGAGAGCATATATATTGCGAACGTCCAACATTCACACAGTTGGATACCAAACGAAAATAAGGTGGCTTGGGGGAGACAGCTTCATTGTGGTTTTCATTGCTCAGCGTCACAATCAACCTCATACCACAGATAAATCAGTTTCAGACATAATCCGAAATTGAAAGCAATGCTGTAACTACCGTTTAATGGGGACGATGTAAGCCAAGTATTTCAACAACGTTTGAAATCTGCAGTTGCGGGTGTGTAACGCGCGACGCAACCGGTATAACTGTACACAACGACTCGCATCCCAACTCCGTCGGTTAGGCCACCAGTACCTCTGCCCAATCGCTCACAGGTCCTTTACCAATTTACATGTAGTTGCAAGGCCGACTACGTGGGTATGACAGAGCGTCAGCTGCAGGTGAGAATTGCAGAGAATTTGCCGAAGTGGGTGAGACGACACGTCTCGCAAACGACCTCAACCATCGCCCCAAGTGCTAACGACTTGCCCTAAAAAGTTCCAGACTCGTCAATCGCCCGACACCTACTGACAGACAGACACAACGTGGACCCTGCGCGCACATTCCGGGTGATCTTCGCGTCAAATAACTCCCACGGTTTGTGATATGGCGAAATGGTGACTATCAAACAACTGGGCCATAACCTATGTGTACAAAAGGACGCGTTCATCACATTGGCTGTGCCGTGGTAGTAGGCCAGCTGATAAAGGAACAAGTGCGTGAGTGTTTGTTTATGTGTGTGTGTGTCGGTGTATGTCCTTTGGTGAATTTGCTATCTCAACTATGCCAGATGTTCATGACGCTATGTACATAAGCTTGCACACAATCTGCAGTACGCACTTGATACTATGCAGAGAAAATTTTCCAAATACAAAAAGTGCAGTCCTATCATGCTAACGTTCTTGTTGACAATCTAAATAGGTAGTCCAGTTCGGGAACCAGCGGAAACAACACTGGCACCGGTTGCGAGCCAGTTTCGAACTAAGCACAAAGTGGGTTGCGCGAACGCTTGCCTGTAATACGAAAACGACCAACAGCTCCCAGTTTGGTTGTCAATGATTTCATTCCCAGCCGCCGCCGAGTAAACTGCTGCCCAGCTGTAGCAAACGGCGGATCAAATGGGGTTATATAAGAAGTAACACATTATTAAGGTGACAATGACGATATAAAAAGTAGAACAGGTAGGCGCCCTTACCTTGCGGAATTTCAACCTGGCAGTGCGTAATAGCTCTTCGGCAGACTGTTCAGGATACTGCTCTTCTAATTGTGCCCGATTTTCATCAAACCAGTCCATGAAATGCGCTGGAGACCTTGGTGGAAAGAGAACGAGGAGTGAGCAGAAGGGTCATGTCATAAAAAGCGAGCGAGCGATCGCGTGCTACACCTACTCGGCTGAAGTACGCTGCGTCGGTGCAGAAGCGCTTGTTTTCGAAGACTTCGTGGTGAGACGTTTCTTGGGTTGCTATGAGTACAGAGAAAAGAAGTGGAATTAATAAGCACAGAACGTAATGTGTAAAGTACTACAAAATATCCGACAGATAGACTGCTGTTACTATGAATGGATACATCGGGATAATCAACATCAGCTGTTTACTGTCATCCAGATATGGTTGCTCGCCTGAGTATGGCTGCGAAGAATCTTCACAAAAACCCAATAAATCCCCATACTACTTACTAATAAGCAGTAATAGCCTTGGCAGCCTATATCCTATCTCGATATGTGGTGGCTTTCCAGCCCGTAGCCAACAGTTACATGACCTGCGTTCCTCCAAAAGGACTGATATTATCATTCTTGCCAGAGACTTTAGCGCATGGGGGCCGCCTTCCACCAAGCGAGCACCACCTTAGGGGTAGTTTGGATATCGGTAGCAGTCGATCAGAAAATGGTGACTGCTTTCTCATTGCTTTGATCAGCGTTTGTTTCTTTCGATCACGAGTTTTCGACACTCGAAGAGACAGACTGCTACCGGGCGACCCCCACACAAACGCAAGTGGTCGCAGCTTGACCACATAGCAATCAGCTACCGATGGTGCGGAAGCGTAACGGACTGCCTATCGTATTGGTCAACTTCTCTAGACTCCGATCACGCATTGGTTTGTGCTAAAATTTGCATGCGTTTCGGAGAATCACCCAAACGCGCTCACTACCGACCGGAAGTTGCAAATCTACAAAACCTGCGATTTTAACCAGGTACCAAGCCTCCCTGTCCACTTTGCTTGGCTCAACTATTGACAGTGATCTCGATTCGCAGTGGGCGCAGATCAAAGTTTCCGCCAGTACCGACACTTGTTGAGTTGCCCGTCACCCACCGAAGCGTTGGATTTCCGCCGACTCCTTGACGCTGATGGACAAACGCCGCTTGGTCCCGTCGGATTCCAACAATGGTGAAGAACGCCAATCCCTGAGTCGAGAGTTGCGCAGGAGTCTGCAAATGGACTGTGAAGCATGGTGGTGTGAACGAGCTAGACAGATGGAACTTGCGAGTTTCTCTGGTAATACCAGAAAACTTTTCCATCTCATCCGAGTAACCGAAGGTGTTCGATCTTGTATAAGTGAAACAATATGCGAAGAGGATGGCATTGTAATCATCAATCTTCAACGACGGTTGAAGCGGTTGGCCGAACATTTTAGCTCGCAGTTTTGTTGGCCTCCAGCTCCATCCGCTTTCTCTGGCGCTCGCACTGTTGCTGAGTGGTCTATCTCCATGGATCCTCCCTCACAACAGGAAATCGAGCAAGAGCTCCGCCATATGAAGTGTTATATAGCGGTGGCAATTGGCTAGTTCGAGAACTCACCACTTTGTTATGCGGATGATCTAAAGATATGGAAGAAGGTATCCTCCCTGGAGGATGCTGATCGACTACAAGAGACGCTCGATCTCCTGAACAATTGGTCGATTCAGTGGCGCTTACCCATTAATCAAGACAAATGTTCCGTCCTGCCTATCGGCGCTCCTGAACCATTCAGCGCTTACCACATAGGTGGTTTCTTGCTCGAAAATGTCACTTCAGAGAGAGATCTGGGCGTAATTGTTTCCCCGGACTTAAGATTCACTCAGGACACCATGAAGAGGGTTGCCGCTGCCTACAGAGTGTTTCATGCCATCCTAAGAGTTTTCTGTCGCTTGACACTGGAATTTTTAGATTTCTGCTCACCTCGCATGTGCGCCCGATTCTGGAATACGGACTCTATGTTGCCTACCCGCTTTCCAAATTTGAGCGCGACATGATCGAAAAGGTCCAACGGCGTGGATAGAAGTTTGTCTCCGAGTTACGTGACCTGTCGTATCCCCTTCGGCTTCGACATTTGAATATGTTCTATGGATTACCGTCGCCGGCGTGGGGACTTGATTTTTACCTGTCGTATCCTCAGGGGAGAACTAGGGAGAGTTGCAGGAATCCTTCCAACTCAACATCGTGAGTTCGACTAGAGGCCACCAATGGAAAATATTCAAACCACGGAGGCTCAAAGCACGACCTATTCTTGCTCTATTCACTCGAGTTGTGAATAAGTGGAATCGGTTACCGCCGCCTGTCGTTGATGCACAGACGGAGGATTGCTTCAAACGACTACTCGATTCACACCTGTTGAATATGCCGGGATCGTGTTGCTTCAGCTACGAGTGCGATGGCCTCTCCGGAGTTTCCGTTGCGCAATGACGAGCATCCCAGCAATGATCATGAAGCGATGGAGCTGACAAGGGATCTCCCATCTTGCTCTTTATTACCCAATAAACCCAATGAAAGTTTGGTCGAATGAGGAGATTACATCATCTTGGGGTGAATCGATAGTCGGCCCTATCTTCAAAAAGGGCCTGTGCACAATATGCTCCAACTACAGAGACATAAGCTTAGTTCGCAACGTTAGCGAGCTTCTGGCCTACAGCGGGACCATGGGTGGCTTGCGTTGCACCATCCACAGCTGCATTCATACATCCCATATCCAGTGTAAACAAGTAGAAATAAGACGGGGAGGCATGTGGATGGGAGCCATGTTTCATCAACAGAGCCGGCCCACACTCCTTCAACATGCACAGCAGCAGCATTCCTGTTTATCATAGTAGGGAATCATGCGTGCCAGACGTACACAAGGTGATGGCTAGGCCGTAGTCCGCTCAACACTGGGTGCATGGAATCACTCTTTGAGAGCAGTCGGGCCACGAGGACGATGTATCTCCAGCAACGATTCAGTCTCTTGTAGGCAGCAATCGAAGTGGAGAGTGCTAGGTAGATAGGCATCTTGTCAACATGCACATCAACTGCAGCCACACTGGGGATATCAAACAATCAACATAGAATTTGAGGAAAAGGAAACACGCAAAATTGACACAAAAGTGTATATATTAAATAAAGTGAAACAGCGTTTAACCATACTTAAATGATCTGGTTTAAGTGTAAATCGGTTTTGTTCAACTGCGGTGAAGAAGCATTAGGAATGCAACATCAACCTCAGCATGAGGCACATTATATATGGTTTGCGGTATCCGGTTTCGGATTTGCCTGTCAATCTGACCAGCCACAGGACGTCTGTGCGTACAAAGGAACCATCAGTGGCTTGCGCTGCAACACCCACAGCTCCAACCACACATCTCATATCCAGTGTAAACCCGAAGGAATAAGACCGGGAGGCATGTGGATGGGAGCCACGTTTCATCAACGGAGTCGGCCCACACTCCTCCACAGGCAAACACAGGCACGCTGTATTTGGGAATCACGCGCACACAAGGCGGTGGCTGGACCGTAGTCCGCTCCACACTGAGTGCATGGAACCGCACTTTGATCCTAGCACGGCCACAAGGACCGTGCACCCCGCCCCCTCCAGCAACGACCAACTGTCTTCTGGAGCCAGTATGGACGAGGTAGTGGGTAATAGACAGGTAGCACCTTGTCAACAGGCGCATCAAGCGCAGCCACACCGGGGATATCAAGCAACAGCCAATCACTTGAAACGACAAGATGAAATAAAATAAATCGGATAATGCATACAGATACGGAGACATAACTCTTCACTAAATGAGCGTATAAAAATGATTACGAACGAATCCGCGATAAGTTCAAGAGGTCAGAAAACATATTTTAAGGAAATGCCACAAACGCGAAAATGTTATCGAAATTAACTACAATTAGCTTCAGCAGCGTGTGCAAGTTTATAGAAGATAGTACAGGTATACAATAATGTGAGAAAGAAAGTCATCAGGACAAAATTGGAAACCCACCACCTGAAATAAAGGGACCTAGCATGCAAGCACACGATTAGTAAATCGAATGCAGCGTATCTACAAACGCTGCGCCGGTTCTGTCTATGTTCTCTGCAGGACCCGTCGCCGCTTCGGTGGTGGTCCCGAGTGGCCTCACTCATGGCTCACTAGGCCTGTCTGACTAAGGCACTCGCGACCGCATGTGCTACATCATCATGCATTCGATGTCGATGGAGTACAACCCATCGGTGCTTGCAGCTTCCGCACTTGCCGTTTCTTCTCTGCACGCATGAGGTCTTTCTCCCGCACTTCGGCAACTGCCTTCGTGATCAGCTCGCGCCATGCACCACGATCAATCGCGTTCGATTCCCATGAGCTGCAATCAAGATTAGAACTTGAGAGGCTCACTTTGATCATGTCCTGGAAACGCAACTTTGGTTTCCCCACATGCCGCTTCCCAATACTCAGTTGACCATATAATAGTTGTTTCGGCATCCACGTCGAATCCATACAACTCACATGACCGAGCCACCTCAGGTGTCTCAGCAAAAGTATGCAGTCCACTACATACATCCCACTTCGACGCAACACTTCCGTGTCAGCAACTCTGTCGCCCCATCCGATGCGTATAATCCGCTGCAAGCACTGTTGATGGAAACGTCCGAGATATCGCACGTCCCTCCGGTATATCGACCACGTTTCACTGCCGTATAGAAGAACGGACAGCACCATCGATTTGTACACCATCAGCTTCGTGCCAATGGTAAGCAGATGGTTGTTCCACACTCGGTATTCTAGCTTCCCGAATGCCGCCGCTGTCTTCGGGACGCGGATACGCAGCTCACTGTGTAGCTGCTGGTCAGTCGACATCACACTCCCAAGGCAGCAGAAGCGGGAGGTAGTTATCAATACTTCAGCACCAATGCTGACTCGCGGCAATATTGAAGATTGCACCTCCGGTGAAGGCTGAGACAGACAGTTTTGTTTGTGTTGATGGTGAGCTCGAATTTGGTTATTGTCGAAGCCAGAAAACACTAGTCATGTGCTGCAACGCATCCGCGCTGTGTGCAAGCAACGCACAGTCGTCAGCAAACAGCAACCTACGGATAGTTGTCTCACAGACTATAGTTCTCGCACCGAAACGACGGATGTTCAGCAACCCACCATCAATACGGTGCTCCACACGAACACCGTAAGGACTAGCCGCATCAAAAGCACAATATATATATATATATATATATATATATATATATATATATCACCA